TGATGTTTGCTGGACCACTCGTGAAATCCCTTCACTGTAAGCAGGAGGGAGTGAGACAGCTGGAGCTCGACCGGGGTGGCAGACCCAGTTTACAAAAATCAATTGGGTATCTCTACAGTGACAAAGAGAACACAGAACTGGAGCTAAGAAAAACAATACCTTTCACAATAGCTAATCACAAGATTAAATACATGAGAGTAAATCTAGCCAGAAGCACAAAGGATCTATTGAAGGAAAATTATAAAGCATTACTACAAGAACCAAGAAGAGACCTGGAGAAATGGAAGAATATTCTTTGCTCTTGGATAGGAAGATGCAATATTGTGAAATGATAATAGTATCAAAGGGAATTTACACATTCAATGCAATACCAATACAAGTACCAATTCCATTCTTCAACAAGATGGAAAAGGCTATTTCCAATTTCATTTGGAATGGAAAGAGGCCTTGAATATGCAAAGCACTCCTTAAAAATAGAAACAAGGTAGGAGGCATCTCACTTCCTAATTTCAAATGCTGCTACACTGCCATGGTGGTCAAGACAGCATGGTACTGGTACAATGGCAGACACATAGATCAATGGAATAGAATTGAGAATACAGAAGTCAGCCCATCTACCGACGGTCAAATGATTTTTGACAAGGAGATGAAATAAATTAAGTGAGGAAACATCAGCCTTTTAAACAAATGGTTTTGGCAAAATTGGAAAACTATCTGTAGAAAATTCAAAAAAGATCCACACCTCACTCCATAAAAAAAAAACAACTGAAAGTGGATCAAGGACCTAGGACAAAAACCAAGAACTATAATCTTCATTAGAAAAACTCTAGAAGCCCTTATCCACAACATAAACAGTTTTCCAAGCATCCTGAAAAATCTAAAACCAGAAGAGGATAAAATAGATGAATGGGACCTTTTAAGAATCAAATCCCTATGAACATCCCAAAACTTCTCCAATAGGGTAAAAAGAGAAACCACAAACTGGGCAAAAGTATCTGGTAATGCCATTTCAGATAAGAGATTTATATCTAGAATTTACTACAACAAGATAAGGGTAAATAACCCA